TGGTGATTCTGTTATTTGTCTAGAGGTCCTTGATAAAAATACGAAGAATTAGCACTATTACTGTTTCTGATCTGGCGTCTCGGCATCACTTACTTCCCTTGTCCATTTTTCTATAAATACTTTCATGGTAATTGTTCGAATGTGCGCTTCGCTGTGGTACCTAGACGTTTTGAATTTAAGCACCGTACTAGACTAGCGACGAGGTCTCATCAATTCATAGGTGAGTTGGCTAAATGTAACCGTAAGTTCTAAGTTAACAGTTTCTTTTCTCGCACTTCTCTCTTGTGGAACTCTCTTCCGCCTCCATGCTTCCCGGCTAAGTTTTATCTTAAAAAAATTTAAATGCAGTGCCAACCGCTATCGACTGTCTTTCTAATTACTCTTCTATTGTTTCATTCCTTAGTAATGCTGCTGTTTCTTCACCATCTTAGTGGCTTTATTGCCTTACTTGGGGGGGAACTTGATTAAAAAAAATAGTGCCGTAACATCGAATATGAATCAACAAATCACAGAAAGCCTTTAAATTAGGGCTTTTCCACACTTTCACTGTCGAAATGATTAAATGTAGCGGTTTTTTCTACTTCATTAGGCAGAGAGTTCCTGAACTCTATTTACATTATTCGGACTTTTGTCCTCATCTTTTTTGCCATATTTATCAAGACGTTTTGGCTGCTGTACGCTCCGGCCTTCTTCATGAGGTTGGAATGTGGAACTGAACCTTTTATTTCGCTCGCTGTTCTAGTTCCACGTGCCATCTCTAATGGATGTCAGTTATCAGTTATCTCCTGTTAATTCCCCTCTCCAAGTTCTCCACTTCCATAACCAGGTATTGAACTCCCAACTCTTTGGGTCCTGTCACTGGATCTAACCAACGCCTTTATCCACTGTGCCATGTGCCCTTAAGTTGTGAGTTCAAGGGGTTCCAAGGAGGTTAGTTGGAGTGAAAGTGAATGAAAAGATTTCAGGAGGAGCCAGAAACACAATCCTAAACAGGAAAGAAGGGATAAACTTCTACTCCTGTTCAAAACAACGGAGAGGGATATGAACCGTGTGATAGGCTAAATTATCGAGAAAAAATAACAAAAGTCTTTAATTACGTGGGTTCTTGTATGCTGCGTCAGTCCGGCGCAAAGTGATTTATGATGTGTTTTTACAGTAAGTGTTTTTATTTTCGTTTTCTTCAAACATTTTTTTAAATTTTTTTTATTTTTTAAATCATTAATTTTGAGTTAAAGATAAACACAAAGGGATCCAACTTTGCTGTTTTGTCCAGTTGTTTGTAGAGTAATTTATATTTTAATTTTCTTTAAACAAACAGAATTTTGAATATTAAAAAAAATGTTTTGTCATATTTATCTAACGTAAAATCCCTGTCGCCGGCAGCTATGTCCTGTCTCCCCAGCGGTTCTGGCCTCTAAAAGAAAACCACCTGGTCCTCCTCCGGTGAGCTGAAGGAAACACCACTATTCGCCACGTTGTGAGTTTTTTTTTTTATCCGAACAACAGTGTTCCGATCCTTCAGGACGGTCCGGTGGTAAAGGATGAAATGGCTGGGTTTTACGCTGAAAGGAATCGCTATTCGTACAGAAAAAAAAGTTCTTGTCGTAACCGTAAGGACATAAAAAATAAGCAACACTTTCGGTTCCTGTACAAGGAGCCTTTTAAGGTTACCGCTTTTATGTCACTACCAAAGAAATTGCACGAATACAAAGTGTCTTAACGAGATTCACTCGTTTGGGTGGGAAAGTCACAGAGAGAGAAAGACGATTATTATGCTGATAGTAATTCAGCTGATCTAAGGGAGGTAATTCGTCGATCTTCGTCTGCACCCTACGATATAGCAGTCTGCTTTCTCACAGCTTTGTTGACGAAGTTATCTGGATTCGTACGGGTTCTATTTCTATCGCTTGGTTCGGATCGGTCTTCTTGACCCAGGACAACCAACTGAACAGACCAGCAAGATCCACCAAGCCGTTTTCCGCCGAGTTCTCTCCGCGCTCTGTCTGTGTTCTGTCCGCGTTCTGTTTAACTCAAGCGTGCAGGTGGCTTATATAGAGTGGGGCGGATCTAAACAATTTTTAGGCACCGCCCACGAATTTTAATATGCAAATCGCCTTGACCACCATGTGTTTCCGCTTAATCTCCGAATCTCTGCGGGCAACCAGTTCTCAAGTGGTACTAAAAATGAATTTGGATTCTCTGCTGGGTTTTCCGCAGACATCATCCACTTAAGCCTTGCGAAAAGCACTTATCTCGTCAAAGGACTTTGGCTGGATTTAGCCCTGCAGACCACCCAAAATCCAATTCACCATTTATCACAAACTTTACTTACCGAACCCGTCCATTAATCACTCTGAAATTAATTCACCTAATTAACTAATAACTCAATCCCAGAAACAATTAAAAAAAAAGAAGAAAAACTTATTTCTGGAATTAATCCGGAATCCCTTCTACCCAAGTAATTAGTACCTTCATCCCAATCCTTTAGAACTGTTGATTAATAAACCCACCTGGTAGGGGGGGGTCTCTCTCTGTCACATTTAAAAAATATTTTCAAGTAAATGTGATGTAAAAATATTAATGGGCATATATAAAAAAAAAAATTGTTTTATGTTAATCTGATTTAAAGTTCAAGTTTATCCCGGAAGTTCTATCCCCATTAAATGCTGTAAACAATCAGTAAAAACGTTAAACATGAACTTGTAAACCAGATCAATGATGACAAGAATTAATTGAAATATTTAACAGAATCATAATTAAATTAACTTTCATTTTAATGCAATGTTGAAATCAATTTCAGTGTTTTATAACCTGAACCGTCAGTGACCAAAGAGGTCACCGGTAGTCTAGTCACCGAATCCGTCACATAACTTAAGAGCTACAAAAGGTAGGGCATTTTGGAGAGTCATGAATATCAACGTTCTGAATGGATACTGCACATAGAACAAGTAAACATATCTCATAAGCCTCGCCCTGCGATACAACCTACACTGAATGAAGACATTTTGTAAGAGATTAAAAATCAGAAAACCAAGCCTAAACAGGAAATAAGGGATAAACCTCTACTGTTTAAAAGGGCATAAATTATTAAGAAAAAAAAAAAAAAGAAATAGTAAATAAAATTTTGTTTTTATATCTATTCTGATTAAACCTAAATATTTTCCGAACACATTTCTGCTTCAGTGAAATGGCAATAAATAAACTGTTTCATTTCAGCCACGTCAGCCATGTAAATCGTTGATCTGAATGAATTAGTTTCTCGAGAAGATATTTTGCAAGAAGATTTGTGCTTATTGGATCTTGGCAATCAGGGAACTTATAACTTTGCACAACGACGACTCATTCGAAAGAGCCTACATTTCAACTAATGCCACCGGCCATTTTAGGCTAAGTGCCTATCAAGATGAGCGACAGAACTAATTTCAACTCAGATCTAAATTCACAACGGAATTAATTTCAACATGGAACTCATTTAATCACGGAATTACTTTCAACTCGGAACTGATTTCAAATCGGAATTAATTTCATCACGGAACTAAGTTCAATTCGGAACTAATTTCAACTTGAAACTAATTTCATCTCGATTTAAAATCAAAGTTATCAATTTCCGTGAATTACTAAACAGAATGCAATTAGTTCGTGTTATTTTTTTCAATTTAGCCTTAAAAATGCTTAGTAGATAAGAGAATTCAGAATTCATCATTTCAGCAACTTTCATTAATTAGTTTCGATTTGAAATTAGTTTTGAGCTGAAATTAGTTCCAAGTTGAAATTAATTCCGAGTTGCAATTAGTTCCAAGTTGAAATTAATTCTGCACCCCATCAAGATACATCAGGGCAGGTTGATTTTTCACCTTTTTAGAAAATCAAGTTAGGATTATCAATGGATAATCCTCTATTGCTGTTCAAAGGATTATGAACTGGGTGTTAGGCTAAAGTATTGAGGAAAAAAGTAATAGTAAATAATTTTTATCTATATCCTGAGTCAAATGAATTATTTCCGAACACAGTTCTGATTCAGTGAAATGGTGAAAAATAAACTGTTTCATTTCAGCCACGTCAGCCATGTAAATCGTTGATCCGAATGAATTAATTTCTCGAGAAGATATTTTGCAAGAAGATTGGTGCTTATTGGAGCTCGGCAAGCCTCTTAGTGGGGGCTAAAACTGTGCATGGTCACTTGTTAACATAACGACGACTCATTTGAAACAGCTCACATTGCAAGCGGCCATTTAGGCTAAATTCCTATAAAGATGACACAGATGATTATCGCTGGTACTGCAAATCAGGTAAACATCGTCGAAGTGTCAGGGATTATTAATTCTTTGTTAACAGCAGGTTGCCGCTAAAGCAAATGATCTGTTATGTCTTTTGCTGAAGTCGCAACATGGCGCAGAACCTGCATCCATATTGATTTTACGCCATTCATGGAATAGCAGTTTATTTCCTACCGCTTAAGTAAAGGATTACCAGTTTATCTTACATTTGTTTTCAAATCCTTTCTGATAAAACGATATTACATTCCAAACACGCTAATACTTGACTAAATTTATCTTACGTTTGTTTTTATACTCCTTCTGGTAAAACGTCATTACTTTACGAACAGCCTATTATTAACAACGATTTGACGTAATGAAAGCAGTTGTGTGCTCGTCATTGGTATAAGAAATGTAGACTAGAGAAAATGATGATAATAATGTCGTTATTTTGCTATCAAACGCTTGTATTATTTATCAACTACTCTGTTTATTGTAACGAGAAAAATTCCCTTGCGTAAAAACCTAACAGGAGACGTGGCGGGTTGCCATGCACACCAGAAAGAAAATCTCTTCTTAGATTCCGCATCGAACTTTAATCTGAGAGCGACAATGCCACCAGGAATTCCTGAAATTGTCACCAGGATTTGATGGGACATAGTCGATCAAGCGTTTTATATCCTTGAAGCGTTAGTGACACCACCCCGACAGTCGGCGGTACCTCTCAGGACGAATTCAAGGCTTACAGTCACATCACATTGAAAAACCGGTTCCCGTACGATCACTGACGTTAAGCAACGTCAAGCCTGGTCGGTACCTAGATGGGTGACCGCTTAGGAATAGCAGGTGCTGCAAACTTGGATGTGCGGTTGGAGTAATGGATAATGGGTCAGAATTATTAATCGGAGGTTCGGATTCCAGCTGGGGATTCATTATATTCATTTACGCGCAAATACCCTTGGGAAAAGTATGGATCCACCTCTTCTTCCCCCAGCTATGGGTTAATTAGTAAGACTTGCTCCACTAAACCATTATTGGCTAAAAACAAATTCTCATAATCTAAAAGTATTTTCGAGCTTCACATAACTTGAAAAGTGTTGTAAGCCGTATGAATCGAATCAATTAAATACTGATTAATTACACAGTCATCTAGAATATAAATATATAGAAACTGCCATTTGCACAAAGTGAGGGATTAGTTTATATATTAACTATAATATATAATTGATACCCCACTTTATGTCCATATATAATTTCTCTTAATTTTACCTCGTCCCATCAGCTATGGGTTAAATAGTAAAACTTGTATCACTAAACGATTATTATGTCCTTCAAAGTATTCTTACTATCTAAAATATTTTCTGGCTTTAGCCCTATGTCCTGCGTACCTGAAAAATATATCCCTTCTGTTTGAGCTTCTGAGTCAAAATTCGCAAATAATTGGTATGTAATGTCTCACTGTAGATGTAAAAATAGTTACAAGTTTTTACCTACCAGTCAACCGATGGCTGGACATTAAATCATTTTTCTTTATCACCGTTCAACCGGTGGCTGGACATTACGTCATTTTTCTCTACTACCGGTAAAGCAGTGGTCAGGCCTCAAATGGTTATGAAAAGAAACTGAATTCGGAAATAATTGGTATGTAATGTTTTACGGTAGATATAAAAAGAGTTACAAGTGTTTACCCTCAGTTCAACCAGTGGCTGGGCATTAAGTCATTTTTCTCTACCACCGTTCAACCGGTGGCTGGACATTAAGTCATTTTTCTCTACCACCGTTCAACCGGTGGCTGGGCATTAAGTCATTTTTCTCTATCACTGTTCAACCAGTGGCTGGGTTTTATGTCATTTTTCACTACCGCCGGTAAAGTGGTGGTCAGAGTATAAAGGTTTAAATAACCTGCAAAGGTTTGAGATACCTTAGAAAAAATAATTATCCAATTAGGACGAAATTCAGAAGAGAGAGAGAGAGAGATAGAGAGACATATACAGACAGACAGGGAGACAGACAGAGAGAGAGGGGAGAGAGAGGTATAAAGAGAAATATCATAATAATTTGTAAGTTTATAACTAAAGGGCTAACTTAGCTGATTACTATAATGTTGAGTCATAGATAATTAACTCCTTTGTTTATTAACTTTACTTTTTTTAAAAAGTTAAATAGTTAAATAAGTTATATATGTATATATTTGCAACTAGCGTATAAGCCGATCCAATTTCACCCCAACCAAGGCATTAAAGCCACTATGACGCAAAAGGTTACTGAGTGCTAGAGAAAACTTGAAAGTAAAATTTTAAAATATGTTCTGGTGCTCCTGCTATACATTTAGAGATTCTTGATAAAATCCAAAGAAGAATCTGCAATGTTATTGGTCCTGACCTGGCATTTCGCTTTTAGGCATTTTCCTATCACCGTAATGTAAAGCCTGTTCCATAAATACTTTCAAGGTAATTAACGAAATTTTCTCTTTGTTACTTAGACTTTATGAATTTAAGCGCAGTACTCGATTTACGGATAGGTCTCATCATTTTAATGTCGAAATGTCTAGATGTAACTGTAAGTTCTACGTTAAGAATTTCTCACTTGTGGAATCTCTTCCAGCTATATATTAGTTTCTGATAATTTACGTTAATAGCTCAACACTTTCACGTTTTTGTCCACTCTGCTTTGACCACGTATTGAACTCACAACTCTTTGAATCAATTCACACTTTGGGTTACTCAACCAACACTTTTTGGAAACGTGGCCCATTGGATAAAAGCATTGGTTGAGTAATCCAAATAGTGACTTAACTCAAAGAGTTGTGAGTTTAGTACCTGGCCACGAAAGAAGGAACAAAAATTTGGAGAGTTGAATTACTAATGGAATTAACTAAAATTGAGATATCAAAAAAAAAAAAATAAAAAAATAAATAAAAAAATAAAAATAAAAGAAAAAGGCATGGCACGCAGAATTAGAACACTTTACCTACGTGGACTAAATAAAAGGTTCGGTCTGAAATTCCAACGTAATATCACCCGCAGAAGGCCGGAGTCTACAACGGCCGAAACGCCATGAAAATGGCAATAAAGATGAGAACAACAGTTTGAACGATGTAGATAGTGTAAATAGTTACAATACCACATCTCCGAAATATAGACAGATCCTGTAGAAAACTGGAGCGTACAACGGCCGAAACGTCGTAAATATGGCGGTAAAAATGAGGAAAACTGTCCGAACGATGTAAATAGAGTAAATGTTTAAAGTACCTCATATTAGAAATAAAGACAGATTTTGGAGAAGGCCGGAGTTTACAACGGCCGCAATGTCGTTAATATGGCCTTAAACATGGGGAAAGTCCGAATGATGTAAATAGTTACAATACTAGATCTCAGAGATATAGACAAATCCTGAAGAAGACCGGAGCGTACAAAAGCCGAAACGTCGTCAATGTGGTAGTAAAGAGTAGAAGAACAGACGGAACGATGCAAGTAGAGAGGTTATTTTGATAAGAGACAACAAAAAAAGGGGAAATCATTAAAAAATTTATCGAAGCATTTTCAGTATTCTTTAAGAGAACCTGTTTGTGCATATATGCACGTATTTTCGATAAATCCTCGGATATTTCATAAAACTACTTTCGCGTCCAAAACTGTTTTCCGGAGCAAAAATCAAGAAATCAAAACAAGGAACGTTCCCGTCTTGAATGAGGAAATGGTTGTAAATTTATCTAAACCATAGGAAATAAGGAAATCTTAAAAAGACATATTTACCTCTAAATTGTTCTCAGAATAGCTTACATTTTATTGTATTCATCTCAAAAACATCAACATTAGCAGAAGATTCTTGAAAAAAAAAATAACAAAAATAATATATATTTCTCCTGGCTTCTCTTATTCTGGAAATTATTTTACTGGATTCCCGGCATCCACTTCTGTTCATGGCTTTTGAAATGGAAGATCCAACGAAGTTGATGGTTTTGATAAATAAAAACATTAAGATCTCAGAAAGAAAGGTTTGGTTTGGTGCTCTGCGAAATTGGTAAATTATTCTTTGAGTGGCAAAGACAAGAAAAACAGAACACGCTGTTGTCGATTTCCGACTCAAAACAGTTTTTATACATTCAGAATTTTATTTATTGAAAGCTGTTTTTTTTCCTTTTTTTTGTGTGTGTGTTGGGAGAATTAATGTCATTGGCCGGCTGAAAGGTTGCGGCACTTTATATCTGTCAGTAGCGGTTTAAGGGAACATTGAAGGGATGGCTAATTTTTTTCTTTTTATACGAAAGAAATATTGAGTTTTATTCCAATACGGAGTGTGTACATTTAAAATGGAGGGAGAAAAGAGGAAAACTGAAGATGAAGAATAAAATGTGGAGGGGGCAGAACAAAATAGATTAAAATTAGAAAAAAAAAAAAGAAAAAGAAAAAAAATAACGCGAAGTTGGAAAGAGATATAGAGGGAAAGAGAGAAAATAAGGGCTACACTGGTTCTATAAAAAAGGGTAGGACGGAGAAAAGGAAGAACAATGATTAAGAAAGAAAGAAAGAAAGAAAAAGAAAGAAAGAAAAAAGAAAGAAAGAGAGAAAGAAAAAAGAAAAAAGAAAGTAAAAGACAGAAAGACAGAAAGAATGAAAGAAAGAAAGAAAAGGAAGAAAGAAATAAAAAGAAAGAAATAAAGAAAAAAGAAAGAAAGAGAGAAAGAAAAAAGAAGAAAGAAAGAAAGAGAGAAAGAAAAAAGAAAAAAGAAAGAAAAAGGACAGAAAGAAAGAAAGACAGAAAGACAGAAAGAAAGAAAGTCAGAAAGAATGAAAGAAAGAAGGAAAAGAAAGAAAGAGAGAAAGAAAAAAGAAAGAGAGAAAGAAAAAAGAAAAAGAAAGAAAAAAGACAGAAAGAAAGAAAGAAAGAAAGAAAGAAAAAGAAAGAAATAAAGAAAAAAGAAAGAAAGAGAGAAAGAGAAAGACAGAAAGAAAGAAAGAAAGAAAGAAAAGGAAAAAAGAAAGAACAAAAGAAGAAAGACAGAAAGAAAGAAAGAAAGAAAAAAGAAAGAAAAAAGGCAGAAAGAAAGGAAAATTTAAAACATTAGATAAAGAGAAGGAATAAAGTAATGGTTAAGTTGTGAAAAGAAAGAAAGAACGAAATGTGAAGAACGAGAATGATAGAGAAAATATCTACAGAAGAAAAAGAAAGAAAGAAATGTAAACCATGAGAGTGATAGACATATATCGAAAAAAGGTGAAAACAGAAATTAATAAACAAACAGACAAATAAATAAATAAATAAATAAATAAATAAAAAGAAAGTGCGAAAGAAAGAAATGTACGGAACGGGGGTGAGGAGAAAATACCTAGAGAAGAAAGAAAGAAAGAAAGAAAGAAAGAAAGAAAGAAAGAAAGAAAGAAAGGGAAAGAACGCGCCTGAGAGAGAAAATATGTAAAATATTTAAAGAAATCTATGAAAAAAGAATGAAAGGTAACAAGCAAGTAAGAGAGAGAGAGAGAGAGAGAGAGAGAGAGAGAGAGAGAGAGAGAGAAGAGAAACAGGGAGAGAGAAGAAGAAGAAGAAGAAGAAGAAGAAGAAAAAACGTAAAGAAAGAAGGCGGAAAGATAACATAGAAAAAGAAACAAATACACAAATACCAAGAAAATAAGAGAAAGAGAAAAACTAAAGAAGGAAAAACATACAAAATAAAGAAATATGTAGATTAAACGAGAGAAAATGTAGAACAAGAAGAGAGATAGTGAAATTGGAAAAATAAAAATCTGGATAGAAAGAAAGATTAAAATAGAAAGAACAAAAGAGATAAAAAAAAAAATAAGTTCCGCAAGAATGGATGTGATCGATAAGAAATTAAATAACAAATGGAACAAGAA